GGTGACGGTACTGGACTCGGGGACAGCCCCCCACTCCCCACAGGGGCACCCCACAGGGACGGTGACGGTAGTGGACTCAGGGACAGCCCCCCACTCTCCACAGGGACGGTGAGAACACCGCACACGGGGACAGCCTCCCTCCACAGGATGCCGGGCTGACTTCCGGAAAGGCCAAGCTCGCGTCCCCACGAGCCCCGCGAGCTCCGTCCACACGCTCGCCGAGATCTGGGCGCCCGCCCTCAAGCCCGCCCGCCGCCTCCGACTCAACTCCCAGAGTGCGGGAGTTCCCCTCACCTTTCAAGACCCCGCCGCCTGGCGTCCCGGGAGCCTCCATGAGAGACCCGCAACACGCGAACCCGCTGCACCGTCCCAGGCCGCTCTAGCCAAGAGTGGGTGGCACTGAGCATGCGCAGGACTGACGCGCGCCCCTCCCCTCCGGCTCTGAGGAAATCTGCTAATCCGCGTTTTCTAAACAGCCTGGGGAGGAGGAGCGTTGGTAAAGTCCCAGCTCGCCTTAAAGGAGACCGAGGGGCTTTTCCAGCGCCCAGACTCGGATTCGTCCAGCAGCCTAATAACGCTGGTCAGCGTCCCCCTCTGCGAGTCTTTCGGTCCTCTCGGAAACTACGAGGACGGGTGTCCCCAAAAATCCCCGAATCAAACCCTTCTGTCTCCGTAAAGACACTTGGAAGCTTCCCGGAGCCACATCTGGCGCACCAGGGAGCGGCGGACGCTTAGGAGGCACAGTCCTAGGTCGCAGGCCGGATGGGACTTCCGAGAGATAACGGCTCAGAATCTCCTACAGCGAAGTCTCACCCTCATCCCGCGCGCACCGAGTCCTCGTGTGCCGCCCTGTAGTCGGCGCACGGAGTTCCGGTTCGGAGAGCCAGACCTCTACTCCGCGTGCGCGAGAGCTCGTGGGGCCAGGGGCACCTCTAGAGACCCCGGGCCTCGGATCCCGCGGGGGGGGCGGGGGGCGGGCCCCGGGCCTCAGATCCCCGGGCCTCAGATCCTATCGGGGGGAATCCTGGACCTCAGATCCTGCGTGGGCTTGGAGGGCGAAGGGGAACCGGGTCTCAGACTCCAGTAGGGCGATACCTCAGATCTTGGGGTGGGGGGGGGGGGGAAAGGGGAGGGGGGGCACACACCCCCACGAGCAGGCCCCCCCCCCCCCCCCCCCCCCCCCCCCCCCCCCCCCCCCCCCCCCCGCCCCCCAGACCTCGCTGGGGGGTGGGGGAACCCCAGACTTAAGATGCCCACTTGGGAGAGGGGAGAGAGCCGAGTCTCAGGCTCCACTGGGATGACGCTGGGACTCAAATCCCGCGGGGAGGCGGGGCGACAGGGATCCGGGTCTCAGACCCCTCGGCGGGGGAGGGGGGGGGCAGACCTCAGATGCCTGCCGGAGGTACGCTGGACCTCAGACCCTGCGGGGGCGGGGAGAGCCTAGTCTCAGACCCCGCTGGGGGGACCTCGGACCTCAGATCCCACGGGGGCACGCTGGACCTCAGATCTTGTGGGAGGCGGGGGAGCCAGGTTTCAGACCCCGCGGGGGGCTATGGGGACCCAGGGTCCCAGATCCTTTGTGGGGCAAGGGGAGCCTGGTCTCACCCGTCTATGGGGACCCCACACATCGACCCAGCGAGAGGATGTGGGACCCCGGACCGCAGATCCCGGCTAGGGATGTACCCTAAACCTTTACTACCAAGGCGGGGTGAGGGCGCGGGGAGCCCTGCCGGGCCGTCCCACTCGCGTTTTGCCGCCCGCAAATCCCGGAGCGGACTTCTCCGGGCGGGATCGGGCGAACCTGGGAGGGAGCGGGGAAGACCAGCGTTGGTGAACAGCCCTGTAGCAGCGCGGTTGAGCCTCCCCGGGATTCAAACCTCCCGCCCTTTGGGCTCCGCCCACTCCCGCAGGGCCCACCCCGGGCACTGCGCGCACGCAGGCTGCTGGTGGCTGCCGGCTTTGGCTGGGCTGCGCGAGCTCCTACGTGTTCCTGGGGAGGACTTTTAGGGCCGGGAAGGGCTTGCTTGGTTTGTGTTTAATGTCCCTGAAACACTAAATCACTTAAAGGGTCCATGCCGTCTGTATTAAAGGATGAACCACCGAATGTATAAAAACCTTCATTTCCAATGATTTCATCCCCATCTTTGTGTTTTATCCTGTAGAACATATCCCATTCCGGAGCTAAGTGGAAAACAATTTTAAAGTTAAAGGGACTTCCTTGTAACCTAATGATTAGAGTACGGGCTCCATTTTGGAGTCAGACTGGACTTGGACTTGGGAGACTACTATCCACCACTTACTAGCTGTGAGGTACTGATGTGAGTCACTGAAACTTTTCAAGTTTCATTCTCCTGTTAAAACAAACGAACAAAAAAACCCCACCTTAATAGTAGAAATAGTGGCTGACGTTTGTTGAGCCCTTTATCATGGGCTCTAGAGGTATTACCAAAATTAATCTTACCTAGGAGGTGAAGGTTCTTATTCAATTTACAAAGCATATATAAATGTATTTCCTCCTAGATTCTCACTAAAATTCTGTAATTTTAGAGGTGTTCATTATCGTACCGTGGGAGCAACAGTGGACTGATTCTCCCCCTCCCCACCCCTATTCCTTTACAATTAAAAAAGCTTTGTCTTATTCTACGTTGGATCATTTTATGCTCACAGAAGCTCTGTTAGAAAAAGTAAGCAATATTATCTCACTTACACAAATAAGCAACCAGGTTCAAGGGAAGTTATCTGACCAGTCCAAGGCAACGTAGTAACTAGTGGTGTCAGTTGAAACTGGAAACCACACGTTTAGGACTTTTCTACTAAATCCAGTGGCAGGGTATATGTACGTATATGGACCACCATCCTCTCCAGTCTTCCTTTCATCTATCCATTCATTCATCCCCATTTGTTATAGCAGCTGTTAATAGGATCCAACCAGCACACAGGTTCTAAAGAATTACCTTGAGCACATGCATACCTTGAGCCAAAACCCCACTTCCTAGACTCAAATCTCTGATCCATAATCACATCATTATCACAAATGGTTAGCCTAACAAACTGAAGAAATGGTAACACCTTTACTTGGGAGTGTGAGCTCAACTCAGTATTGAAGATAAAGTTATTGTCCTCACCAAGTAAGTGACAGTGAATGCTAAGAAGATTTAGAATCACATAATGGCATGATAAAACAGATAAAACCAATCACCTTTGCCATACAAAAGGTGGTATAAAGGGGCACCTGGGTGGCTCAGTCAGTTGGGCTCTTGGTTTTGGCTCAGGTCATGATCTCACATTTTGTGGGTTCAATCCTGCATGGATGGAGCTCTGTGCTAACTGTGGAACCTGGTTAGGATTCTCTCTCTCTCCCTGTTTTTCTGTCCCTCCTTTGCTCATGCTCTCCCTCTCTCAAAACAAATAAACATTTTTTTAAATGAAAATAAAAATTTTAAATGGTGGTATACAAGTTCAGTATTTAGTAGATTCTTCAGCTTTAAGGTCACAAATATCTTCTCCTATGATTTCTTTTAGAAATGTTATAGTTTTAGGCTTTATCCTTAGTTTTAGGATCAATTTTGAGTTAATTTTTGTATATGGTAAGGATAGGGCCCTAAGTTTGTCTTTTGCATATGCTCCAGCATCATTTCTTGATAAGCTATTTTCTCCACTGCATTCATGCTTTTGTACCTGAGTCAAAATCAGTTGTGCATATATGTATGGTTTATTTTTGGACTTTCTGTTTCATTGAGCTATTTGTCTAACTTTATACGAATATTGTATTTTGATTACTGTGGTTTTATAAATAAGTTATAAAATCAGATAATGTAAGCCCCAAAACTTTGTTCTTTGTCAAAATTGTTTGATGTATTCTAGATCTTTTGTATTTCCACATGAATCTTAAAATCATCTTGTCATTTTCTACCAAAAAAAGAATAAAATACCCTGCTTGGATTTTGATTGAAATTATGTTGAATTTCAGATCTATTTGAAGGAGAATTGACATCTTAAAAATATTAACTCTTTTGATCCATTAACATTTATTTAGGTCTTCTGTAATTTCTCTCATCAATGTTTTGTATTATTGAGATGAGTCTTTTTACAACTTTTGTCAAATTTCAAATCCCAAGGTAAGTATTACCATTTTTATGATACTGTAAATAATTTTTACAATTTCCATTTCTGTTAATATATGGGAATATAATTGGAGGGGAGGTGGGTGGGTGGATGGGTTAAATAGGTGATGGGGATTAAGGAATGCAGTTGTGATGAACACAGGTGTTGTATGTAAGTGATGATTCACTAAATTGTACACCTGAAACTAATATTACAATTTATGTTAACTATATGGAATTTAAATAAAAATTAAAAAAAAATAGTTCTAATAGCTTTTGTACATTTCCTGTGAAGTTCTGCAGATAGCCACGTTGTCTGTTTTAGGAAGAAAGCTTTTCTTCTTCCAACTTGGGTCCAATGGCGGGGCGGGGGGGGGGGGGGGCTGCAATTAACAATAGATTAACAGGAGGGTGGTGCCTGCGTGTCTAGGTCAGTTAAGCATCCAACTTCAGTTCAAGTCATGATCTCACGGTTTGTGAGTTCCAGCCCCAGCTTCAGGCTCCGTGCCGACAGCTGAGAACCAGGAGCTTGCTTCGGATTCTGTGTCTCCCTCTTTCTCTGTGCCCCTTCCCCACTCATGCTCTGTCTCTCTCTCAAAAATAAATAAACATTAAAATTTTTTTTTAATTAACAGATTAACAGGAGGAAAAATAAGGCTTGTTTTCATGTGTTGTCTGTACACGCGGAAGTACTCAGTAGTGCGTAATTCACTAAACAGCTAGAGATGAAAGGTTCATATACCAAACCTAATGAAGTAGGGCGGGGAGTTTGGGGCTTTATGGGAAAGTTCTACTGGGCTTTGTGATGCTCATGGGAATTGGGGCAGTCTGTTTCCCTGGCAGCTGAATTCTTAGGAAACTCCCTCAAAGGAGTGCTTAATGGCGGCTGTATTTTCTGGAGGCTCTGTTTTCAGGTAAGGAGAGTTCAGATAAGATTTGTTCCTGCATCTTCTTTAGCTTGAATGTTTTCACTTTAATCTTTATACCAATTCTGGGCATCCAAGGGAGTCCCCACATCTGCAAATCAAGGCAGCATTGCTTCGCGTTTTTCAGTCTGGGTGTCTTTGCTTTCTTTTTCCTGCCTGCTTACACCGGCCAGAGCCCAGTCCATTGGTTCTCCATCAAGGGGCAGTTTTGTCCCAGGGAGACATTTTTGGCTGTCACGATTCGGGAGGGGGGATTACTACCAGCATCTAATGGGTAGAGATCAGGGATGCTGCTAAATACCTTCTAGTGCACAGGACAGCCTCCAAACCAAAGAATTACCCAGGCGAAAATGTCAATGTTGCCAAGGTTGAGAAACCCTACCCCCAGCAGAATGTTGGATGGAAGTGGTAAGAGCCATCTTCCTTGTCTGGTTCTGCATTTCAGGGAGAAGCATCTGGTCCCCCAATATTAGCTGTGACGTTAGCTGTGGGTCTTTTCACAGATGCCCTTTACAAGGTTGAGGAAGTTCCTTTGACTTCCTACTTTGCAGGAGTTGTCCATTTTTTAATTTGGGAATTTTTGGAACCAGGATGTTTGATTT